CATTCTTATTAGGACATCAGTCATTACCTTGTACAACTCCATCTTTACTTCTTCAAGAACCTTATTTCCCAATACAGTTCCTTTTTGAGATTCCAGAGCTTAGGACTACATATTTTTGAGCAGCATACTTCTATCTTAATAATTGTACACATTCTGTAAATATCCAAGTTCACTTCCTAATTGCTTTCACAAATGACTGTTTCCTGGTCTTCACCATCTGGATATAATGTAAATGTTGCTTATCCAGTATATATTCTTATTTTTCTTTCTTTCTTTCTTTCTTTCTTTTTTTTTTTTTTTTTTTTTTTTTTTTTTTTTTGTCTTTTTGAGACAGAGTTTCACTATGCAGTTCAGGTTGGCCTTGAACTCAAAGCAATCCTCTTGCCTCAGTCTCCTGAGTACTGGGATTATACGTGTGCTCTACCTCACACTAGCTCATTTCTTCCTTTTCTCTACTCTCATTGGTTGGTAAGACATAGCAACAGGTACGAGGTACTCATTACTTCAAAACACTGCTTCCTTATAAAATTAGAATCTGATTACTATTAGAACATTAAAAAAAATTCTTTTGAAAACTACGTATCTTCATCCTTTGTCTACTTTCAATTGAAAGTTTTTTTCACTAATTTGAAAAAGCTCCTGTGCATTACAAATCTTTTGTGATATACTGAAAAACCCAGACTTTGAAAATACCCTACCAACTATCCAGCGGCCAAGAGAAACCACAAAATATTAAAAAGGTACAGGCATATAGTGACATAAATTGAACCTTTCTGTGCAACAGCCCAGTCATGAACAAATCCTCATGCTTTAAGGGCTGGAAGATGAATAATGGAGTGCAGTGTAGGTTATGAAGCACTCTTTAAAATTTCAAGTACAATAATACTTATAATTTGCTTCATAGTTTACCATTGCCTAAATATTCAATTTCTATCCAGTGAAGCACTCAAAGGAACTTCAAGGACAAAAATGATCTGATTAACCCTTTGGTACCAAAGGCTTCACAGTGTTTTCTGCCTCACACATGTCAAATTTCTACTGACACTTGCAAGCCCCAGTTTGCCATCAAAGAAAGGATTAATCTGTCCTTGGTTTATCTAAATGATCAAATAATAAGATTTAAGTGATAACCAGCTGTAGGATATGTCCTTATTAAATCTGATAGGATACTTTAAAAGCCAAGTAATGTAATGAAGTTTGCAAAGTGATTTAGATTAAACAGGTTTGACTGCTCAATTTGGAAGAAATTCAGTGCACAGGTATGAGTATGAAGGCAATTTTTAAATATTAGGCTTTGAATGCTGATGACCAGAAAGCTAAGATAGTAAATGAACATTATATTGTTTTCCTAGGGGTTTTTTGGTTTGGTTTTTTTGCAGAACCAGGGATTGAACTCAGGCCCTTGTGCTTGCCAGGGAAGCACTTATTCCACTGAGCCATCTCCCCGGCCCCACATTATATTGTTTTAACAATTTTCATTGCTCATCAACTAAGTGTGTGCTTATTTTAACACTTTCCTCTACCCCAAGTTCCTTCTTAAGGAGCTGTTTCTACTATGAACCCATGCAACACAGGCTGGAGGAAACCCAATTCTTGGGGACTGATAGTAGAAAGTGTCTAAGCTCAGCCAAATGCCTGTCCAGGACCACGCAGGGTCTACTCTGTACAAAGACTGCTCTCCCAACTAACCAAGAAATGTGTAAGTGAAGAGGCCAGGCCTTTGAATGCATTCAATAAAAAGTTTAGCCTGTATTTGGTCACCTCACATATCCCAAATTATCTTTTCAGTTGCTCACTTTACTTCAAAATGATGCACCCTTTATTATATAAAGAAATACAGGTAAGTCAGGCCTACTGCGCAAAGCTATCACTTGTATGCCTTTGTTTTGCATATCTTCTCTCTGGAGTCTTTGTATTTGTGCCAGAATTAAAGGCACTTTACAAATGCTGAATGATATTTGACCTTGACACTTTACACCTATAACACGTCTAACTTTGCACACATTCACTGAGTCAACTAAGTGAACATGTACATACATTCATCACATACAAAATTCGTACAGAATTTTCATAAATATTACTGTGTTCTAGCACCATTTTTCTAACCCAATATCATGTGTTGAAATCAACTAATGGTCATGATCACTATTAAAAAGATGAAACAACAGAAAAATTATTAGTTCATACTAAGAATACATGGTATTTTATGCATGTAATGAGTCACAATGAAAAATGTATTATTTTGGCTTATGGACAACAGTTTAAAAAGCACCATATTTTAAGTGTGTTAGTAACATGATAGGATTTCTCTTAGCATTCTTTCACTCCAGAGGTTACAGATATTCTTGCTTTTCATTTTCAGACTACAAATATTAATTGAGCAACTGCTATGTATTGGTTGGGTATCAGGTGTTGGGGCAGTTAGGGGAAAGCAAATTACTTTTTTCTTAAACCTATTACAGTTATGTAATCCTAAAAACAAATAGTTAAATCAACTACAACTGATCTATTGAAAGTAGAAAGTACCCCTCCTGATGACCATGAAATTTAAACAGGATAGGCCAAAAGTTCCCCCAAATAAATCTTTCAAAGAATGTTAAATGTCTCATGTTTCTTATTAATTAATATTCACTAGAGAGAAATCCAGTATATAAAATCTGTAGTTTAGACACAAATTCTCTAGGGACGTTTTTCTTTTCATCTACCTGCTCAATGGTACGTTTTCTTTCCTAGGCTTTCTAGCAAGAAAATGATTTTTCAGCAACCAAGGTTTGGGGCCTAGCTCCAAAATTTCTCTTCAGAAGTCTTCTCTGGAAAGACAAACTATGTATGACCTCTTGGCCTTTTGGCTAAGATCAAATGTGGAAAGACAAACACATTTTACTTTGTAAATGTTTTGCTCACTTCAAGCTTTGATAAAGCAACCGATATATGAAATTAGGCAGAAGACTGAGATATTCTACATTTTACAAAATAGTAAAAAACTTTAAAATGAAATCTTTTTAGAAATAGGCTCCCCTCACCCCAAGAAAAAGCCAATCAGTTGGTCTGGTACTAAATATAAATTCAAAATAATTAAAAGAATTTAATTCTCTTGGTACTCAAATCTCTAATACTGAGCATTAGTATCAGATTTTATACTGTGATTGTAGCTATTTCTTTTTTTAAAAGTTTTGTGTGTGTTTGTGTGTGTGTGTGTGGCCAGCTCAGCCCACCAGGGGGCAGGGCTGGCTGGCATGTGGTGCTGGGGGATTGAACCGCGGTCCCTGTGCTTTGCTAAGCTTGTTCTAAGTAGGTGCTTTAGACCACTGAGCCATCTCACCAGCCCTGTAGCTATTTCTTTTAAATGGCATGGAAGATATTTGAAGATGACATTCCAATTTAGAAGTGCATCTGACATTTTTTGAAGTAATTTTTACTATCTAATAAATAATTCTAAGGTTTATAACAACAAAAACTTTACAAATAACAAAGATTTTTTTACTTCTTTGACCCTGAGATTCCAAATATTCTTTGCAGTGATCTCAAACTTCACAAATCAGATAAATCATATTAGCACTGTAAATACTTTTTTTTTTCTTCTATTTGTAAGTTTTTAGATTTAAATGTTATTTAATGCTAGAGATATAGCTCAGTGGCACAGCGCTTGCCTAGCAAGCTCGAAGTCCTGAGTTTGATTCCTGACACCAATAAAAAAAATAAAAAATAAAAAAATTTAATAAGCCAGGTATGATGGTACATGGCTGAAATTGCACTACTTGAGAGGCTGAGACAGGAGAATTGCCCCAAGTTTGAGTCCAGCTTGAGCTACACAGTGAGTTCAAGGCCAGTCTGAACTATGCAGCAAGACCCTCTCTGAAACAAAACAAAATAAACCAAAAACACACACACAAATGTTATTTAAAGGGATAGTGAGATAGCTCAACAGTCTAATCACCTGCTTTGGCAAGCACAGGGACCAAGGTTCAATCCCCAGTCCCACATGCCATGCTGGCCCTGCCCACAGGGCATGCTGAGCCAGTGACTGAGTTTGGGCATGGTGACGTATGCCTGTAATTCCAGTGCCGGGAGGCTGGAAACAGGCAAGGTCACTATGACTCGGAGCTGTGTAGTGAGACGCTGTACCAAATACATAAATGTAAAAAAAGTTATTTTAAACCATTTAGGTTCATAATTACATTAATGCTCAGTGATCAGGCTGGTAACAGAAGTTTCACCCACTTGTTCTAGGTACAGTATTTGGAACACTACATGGAAAATAAATGATTAGGTAATGGTTTGCTTATTTATTTATTTAGAGAAGGTCTCATTGTATAAGTCCAGGCTGGACCTGAAGTCACAGCCTCTCAAGTGCTAGGGTTATAGGCATATGCCACCATGCCCAGCAGGTAATGGGTTTATAATTATACTGGTCGTTTTGTGACAAAAGTATTTGCAGTCCAGATAATCATTTGGCTCTGGCCTGCATATCCTAGAGCTGCTTTCTATCTTCCCATTCTGTGTTCAGTGATGTTATGTCAACAGCTTGAAACTGGTCATGGTAGGAGTACTTCAACTGTGGGAACTGGCAACAGCTGCACATTAGAGTTTCCTTTGCCATTTTAGAGAGTCTCTAAACATTTTCTAGAATATTGCTAATAACAGTTGGTATTCTTTTAAAATATAATTCAATTCTTCATTGTTCATAAGCTTACTTGAAGACCTAAATGGCTGGTATTTCCTGTGTAAATCTGAAATGCTTTTTACACATTTATCCTTTGCAGTACTGGAAATGTTACACTTTCATTGTGAAGGGATAACTATGTGAGTTCTTCCTTTATCAGAGTTGTATTCTATTCAAAATAAACTGCTTAAAAGATGTGTTTTTACCTAAGAAAAATACAAGATATTTTATTTATAACTCATTCCACATTTATGAAAACAAAAATATTTTAAAAGAAAGATTTTAATTATCTGCCAAAATGTCTGATTTAATAATAAAAGATTAATTAAAATTTTGCAAAGAATTAAATAAACAATTTTATTAGATGAACTCATTTATTTGACACATTAAATTATGCAAAGAAAAATATTTGCAAATGCATAAAAAGAATCCCATTCTCTTACTACTCAAATACCCAGCAGTGGTAAAAACAATGAACTGTAGAGTGGACCCCATGACTTAATGCAAAAGCATTGTACAGAAAAATTTCAGGCTTCTAATTTCACTGAATCCAAAACTACACGCGCTTCTTTATATTCCTCGGCTTCTTCCAAGTCTTTTTCACTTTCCTGAAATGAAATACAATGAAAATTAGGTTTATCCTTCTGAATTGTGAGTGCTTTGCTATTTCCCGAAATAATACAAACCATTAATGGAAATAACTCAGGAAACAGAAAAAGGAGTCCAAGCCTCTTCAACACGTACCACAGCTCTGTTACATCATTAGAGGGAAAGGGAGGAAATAATAGGCTTTGTTTCCACTGTATATTTTCATGTAATATATTCTCATAATGAATTAATATTGAAAAGTTAATTAAAAAGCCTCAAAAATTGAAAGCAATTTTTATTTTCATTTTGTCAATATATCAGCAGCATACAAAAGACTAATAAAAGATACTACTGTGTTCCAAATATGACAGCACTCAAGTAAAAATGAAATACAATGAAAATCAGGTTTCATCTATAATTTCAACTACCCATAATTTCAAAGGTGACCACACTAGAGTTAAGCAATATTTGAATTAGAAAAGTGAATTATCTGTTTGTTAATGAGATGTCCTACATGAAAAGAAACAAAATGTTAATATCTATATTTTCTGATTTTTAAACAGTGAGTTTTTCCATGAGACCGATACATAGGAAAATAATACTTTCTGATGGTAACACAAATATCTAAATTTTTGTACATTGAAAAATTTTATTTTGAAATTAAATTACGGTCTTAATTTTACAGTTTCAAATGAAATTATTCATGTCAATTCAATAAAAGATGGAGATACATAGTTATAAAGAAGGAATAAGGTATTTAGTATGAAAATTTAAAACCAAAAGACTGAGAATTTGCTTAGCTCACACAATAGACAAGGATTTTTAAACTGGTACGTTACACTTTAAACACATTGGCATTTTCTTTTAGCAAATTTAAGCTCTCAGAGCACAGTCACTGTTGAATCTATCTTCATACACATGAGTATACCATCCAAAGATATATTTTTTCAAAATACCACATTATTTCCTCAGATGCAAGATTCATCAAAAGAAAGAAAAAACATTTAAATTGTTAGGAAATACAAATGGTGCTTTTTATGTAGGTTTTCCTTTCTTTCTTTCTTTCTTTCTTTTTTTTTTTTTTTTTTGTAGTGCTGGGGATTGAACCTAGAGCTTATGCATGCAAGGCAAGAGCTCTGTCATTGAGCCACACATCCCCAGCCACATATGTAGTATTTTAATTCAATAATTATTTCTTATCTTCTGTTACAAAAAATCTGGCTTCTTTTTTTGGCTAACAATTATCATGTGTCTAAGTTTTCTATACAAAACTGTGGAATTCTATGCCAAAATTACTGTAAAATGAAATATTTTTCTTCTGTTGATGTCCTAACTTGGTGAGAAAACAAATCCCATTGTCATTCAATGATTATATAAGATCATACAGAAAAAACTTTATTTTTGTAATCTAGGGAAATGACTTATGAATCAGGAAAAGATAGCTGTGTACCTACTAAATAATATCAGCTTAGAAAATATAAATGTAAAATAAGATCAGTAAAAGAACTGTTGAAATCGTCAACCAGTGAATGGCAACAACTGCTTGTATAAAATACTATGATTTTTCTATTAAGAAAAATAGCTTATTTATAGTTAGAATCATTTATAAGCTGAGTCAATCACTATATCACAAACCATTTATACCACTAAGAAAGATAATAGGTTACCTACCCCAAGTTCTTATAGCTGCTGCCCACATTATCTGTATTTACTCCTCTTTCTCAAACTGACTTAGAAGCTGAAAGAATTCCAGATCCTTGTAAGAGTTCAAGTTCATTTGAAACAATGGATCTTTTAAAATTTCAAACAGTCAACTCTTAACGTCAAAAAATCCTTATATATCCAAAACCAGATAAAGATACTATTGAACAATATTAGTACTAGGGACACCTGCTATCATAATTCAAAGCTGAGTGAGTTTAAGTAAGTACACTAAACATGCTTGAAAACTATTCTTACTGGGGTCAGAAATCAAAACATTTATAACCCATTTATTATTTGAAAGTATGCTCATATACATGGCTACTGAATTAAAAATATCCCTAGTTAAGTATTAAATAATCAAAATTTTGATTCTAAATGTATTAATTTGAAAAAAATTAAACATAAAGTCAGAACAATCTTTACTTACTAATATCTGCTGAAGGTCAGTATATGCTGCCTCTAACCTGCGCTGGCAATCTGGGATCATCATCCGGGACTCTTGCAGGATCTCTGCCTATAATGAGAGTATCTATGAGATGTGTAGAGAGGATAGGATTGTATCTGTTTAGCTCGCACCTCGGTAAATATCTAGTAATTAAATGGCTCAATATTTTAATTTAGATTGTGTTTATTAGAAGAAAGACTATGGTACTGTAGAATACAAAGTGCAAATTTTAGAACTTCTAGTAAGTTTTTTGGTTTTGTTTTTGGTAACTACCTTCTCATGGTAAGTGAAAATTAACTGGAAAAGCTTTTTCAAAGAGCAGTTTTTTTTAAAGGCCATTTAAAATAGACTATTTCCCCTGCTGTCACAAAGCACCTTTATCCAAAATGGGATCAGCTGGTTACATAAATATCTCCTGCATCTTTTGAGTAATAAAGAAAAACAGTGTTCAGATAATATCACATGGAGATAATTACTGCATGAAAAAAGTTATTGAGTTATTGATCACATCGTGTGCACACTGCAGGAGGTTCTCACTGAAAGACAGAGGTAAAGAAAAATGAAAAGCAAAGACCAGCGGGTTCATATTTTTGATGCTTATCATGCATAAAAAGTTATTACTTATCCTTGTGCTTCATTTTAGAAGAGAGATTATTCTCACCATGCAGTTTGAGCCAAATTACCAATGTGGCAGCCCTCTGAATCTTAACTTCTTGCCTATTCCTCTTGAAGACAAACATTACAGAATTAAATGCAGGAATATTTATATAACCTAGAGGACATTTTTGGATTTAAGATATACTATTCAAAGCTGGACTGTAACGTATCAAGTCATAAAAGAAAAAACATGAATCAATGACTGGAAAACCCAATCACTAAGTTAATGTCAGATGTGGCAGAGAAAATAAGACTTCTTAAGGTGGCAGGAAGCCTTATTTCCTTAAACCAGACTCAGAAAGAAACACACATCATCTTAACATTTACTTCGAAAAAACAATGTTTGATTAAATGCCTTCTGAGAAATAGGTACAACATATGAACATTTATAAAAATTTATCAGGTAGCTCACATAAAATAAAAAGGAAAGATAATTTAATGATAAAAGTATCAAAATACCATATTTTAATAAAACCTTTAGTATCACTACTTTCATCCCTTTCTCAGTAGTTTTGTCAGAGCTCACACTGCAAACAAAAATCAGAATTATGATGTACAAAGATGTTCTCTACCCGTATTTGTTCTCTCAGGGGGAAATGTTGCTGAACTCACAATTCCTACTTATGAGGCACAGGCTAAACATTCCAAACACGAGACTGTGACCTTTAGAAGCTTACCACGCTATGTTGAAACAATTAATCACTGGCACTAAAATTGTTTTTGCATTATCTGATTAGTTCAAACACATGTGAAAAATAAGTAACAGGAATACTTCAGATTTCTTCTATGGAATTCTTTTAGAATAATATATAAATTTAGTAAGATGAAATTAATACAAATAATCAGGTCAAACCCATGATAAGTCAAGTGAATATTTACAAGATTTTTTGGAAAGCTTTATGCTTACTGAATTGAATCAATGTTCTACAAAATAACTTCCATTCATTATTCTGTTATTACAAAATAAGCATCTTTTGTTTATCTGAATGAGATTCTGACTTACACAAGGCCAATGTTCAGTCTCTAAAATCTACCCCAATTCATTCAGTAAGTTTACACTGAATCCTCTGTATCCACATGTTTTACATCTGCAGATTCATCAACAATGGATTGAAAATAATTTTTTAAAAAATTGTATGGGGGGGGGATTATATCTGAGTTCAGTTCCACCTTGAACTACAGAGTGGGACGCTTGACTCAAAAGACCAAAATGAAGTAAAATAACAAAACAAAACAAATCCAAAACAAACAATGCATTTATATTGAACGTGTGCAGATTCTTCTCCTGTCATTATTCCCTAAACAACTGAGCACAAAAGATACTGACACAGCATTACACTGTTTTAGCCACAGAGCTAGTGAGCAGCCCCAGCTCCTAGTACCGCCCGAGGGTTCTGGAGGCAGTCCTCAAAGACACTGAAGATGACTGCATATCTGCAAGAGGTCAGCACAGGGAATAAAAGGTGAAAAAGAAGTCTCTGTTCTCTGCTCCAGTACAGTGTAACTATGAAAGTAAGCATCTGATACTGTTTCAAGAAGACCAGGCTATGGAAAGCCAAAGGAATAATGAATGATGAAAGTATGACCCAGACACCACAAACCATTACCTCCATCAAAGCTACAAATCATATGCTTTTCTTCGTAGTAATGAATCAAAATGGACAAGAATAACTTAAAAAGACAGTATGAGGTGTGGGGTGAAGACCCACCCTCAAATACCTGACCTTAACTAAATGTACATTATCTTTCAAAGTACCTCCCTTGGGAAGTAGGCCCTCAAATGAATGGTGTGTCTCATTAAAATATCTGAATAAGCTGGTAGTTTATTATGTTTGTCTTGCCAAGTCTGAGGTAAACTCAGACTTTTAGCACAGACTGAGAAGTACAATGACCATCAGAACAAGAAGGATAGCTCAGCAGATTAAAGTGCCTGGTTAAGCAGACGCAGGGGCCAGGGGTTCCATTCCGGGGCCTGCATGTCGGCCCCACGCCCAGGCCCACGCTGAGATGGCGAATGAGACTGGGCAAGGTGGCGCGCATGCCTGTAATCCCAGCCCTTGGGAGGCTGTAAACAGGAGAATCACTACAAGTCTGATCTAGTAGTGAGACCCTGAACACCCTATAGACCCTTCCCTAAAATACAGGGGGAAAAAAAAAACCAAAAAGGATGTAATCCCATTGATATTTAATTGTTTTTGGGCTGGTGAGATGGCTCAGTGGTTGGCAAAGCACAGGGACCGCGGTTCAATCCCCCAGCACCACATGCCAGCCAGCCCCGCCCCCTGGTGGGCTGAGCTGGCCACACACACACACACACACACACACAATAAATAAATAAATAAATGTTTAAAAAAGATATTTGTTTTTAAAGTAAGTTGTATCTTCTCTGGGTAGTTATTCAGTAAAATGGAAGTTGGGGTGGGGGAGCTAAACAAACCTCAGGTTATAAAAATAATTAAATTGCTGAACTAAAATTTTATCAATTTCCTTAATAGCCAAACATATATAAATTGGAAAGAAAATGCCTAATTAATAAATCTTCATTTTTTGAAAATGAAGAGTTCTGTAGAATAATCTCTCTACTGTTAAAAGTCTTTGGTTATCACATGATTGGGACAAGGATTAAGCTTTAACTGAATCATTCGAAATATTGGCTATCGGCTTCTCTATAACCAAAGGTAACTACATTAGTCTGACAGACTGAAATGGAGTCATCTACAGATTACTGAACAAGGGTTCAGTCTTTTTCTTTTACAATGTGGTAAAATGTTAATATGCTCACATGCCCAAAAATCTATTTGATTTTTGTTTTGTAGTTACTGCCTAAGTTAAGATTATAAGAAACCCATATATTAAAAATCATTTAGGCCCTTAAATTCCAATGTAGCAGTAGTTAATTTCCATGTAAATAGTATAAATAGTATAAACTTTTCTTAACACTTGTTAAGAAAAAGAATTTAACTGGCCTCAATTGATGTCTACAAGAAACGCACTTTATTATTTTATTTTATTTTGTTTTTTATTTGGTACCAGGAATCAAACTCAGACCTTGCACTTGCCAGGCAGGCACGGTGCCACAAAGCTGTATCTCCAACCCCCAGAAACTCACTTTAAAAAATGAAACATAAAAAAGGATGGAAAAGGGCATATTATGCAAATATTAACTTAAAAAAAAGCATGTACTGGGTATGGGGCACATGGCTATAATCCCAACTACTCAGGAGGCTGAGGCAGGAAGACAACTAGTTAGACACTCTCCAAAAGAAAAATGAAATACAACTTGGGATGTAGCTAAGTGGCAGGGTGCTTACTTAATGTATGTGAGGCCCTTGGTTCAATTCCCAGTACTGGAGGTGAAAAAAAACACACAAGTGGATATATTAATATTGAGTAAAGAGGGCTAGCCAGATAGCTCAGTGGACTAAAGCTCCTGCTTAGGCAGGCACAGGGACCAGGGTTCGATCCCCAGCATGCTGTGCTGGCCCCACCTGTGGGGTGCACTGAGACAGCAACTGAGACTGGGCATGGTGGTGTGCTCCTGTAATCCCAGCACTTGGGAGGCTGAGAACAGAAGGAACACTACAAATACGATCTATGCAATGAAATCCTATACACCCTGTACTAAATACATTTTTTTAAAAAATGGATAAAGTAGAATTTAGAGAAAAAAATGGGTGGGGGTGGGACAAAAGAAGTAAGTGATATTATCATAAAAATTTAAAAATCCATCAAGAAAATATAGTGATCCTAAATTTATATGCACTAAACAACAGAACTTCAAAATACCTAAAACACAAAGTGCCAGAAATGAAGGGAGAAACAAATCCATATATCTAGTTGGGACTTCAATACATCCTCTCCTCTTTAATAACTGATAAATACAAAAGAATCAGCAAAGAGATGACAGAATCAGACAAACTACCAGCCAGCAAGTTGTAACTGACATTTACACAGCTTCTGACTTAAAAGAGCAAAATGCTGTATCTAAGAAGGAAGGACACAAGTACTAGAGAGCACCTGGGAAACAACTGCTACCCCAGACCACGTTCTGGGTCAACTAACAGCAACAAAAATGAAACAAAGCTAGAAGAAAGGAAGCCATACACAACATGTTTTCTGTAGTCTGGGTAACAAATTTGATAACAATATGTAATATAATAACTAGTCTTGTTTTGAAGTTGTATGCCATTTTTATTGTTTTATGTTGCTTTTTGTCTTTGTTCTTATAATTTGGGTTTTTTCTCTCTCTAAAAAACCCCTGAAAAATAAAACTGTCTTCTTGTAAATGACATGATTGTCTAAGTAAGAAATCAGAAATCTACAAAATCAAAAAAAACTTAGATTAAGTATTTCTTCAGCAAGGTTTCAGGTTAGTAAGACACATGCACACACAAGTCCCTTGCATTTATGTATCTAGCCACAAATACTATGTGGAAACTCCTCCAAAGAAAATGATCAGGATCCATGGGCTGAAGATGACAACATGCTAAGGAAGGAAACAAAACCTAAATGAACTGAAGGGACTGCTCTGCTCACCCACCACAAACTTGAAAAAAATGACACAAATTCTTCCCAAACTGATCTGCAGGTTTGACAGAAGTTCCATCAAAAGGTAGAGAAACTAAAAAATCTGTCTTCACATCAAAACTACACAAATATGTGGCACTGCTTTCTTCCTAACAGCCAAAACCTAGAATAATCTCAATGCCCCTCAATGGCCAAACTGTACTACATTCACACCATGAACTCCTACTCAGAAACAGTCAAGAATAAACTACCCAGAAACATCAATAGACAGAAAATGCTATTCTATGTGGAAGAGACAATTTTAAAAAGTTACATACTGTATGGTTCTATGACATGTCATATGACATCCTTTAGATGGTGTAATTACAAGCACCTCGGCTTAGGTGGTAGCTAGAGGCAGTGTCGGTAGCTATAAAAATGCAGACTGAGGGAGCTTTGTGGTAGTTTGTCATTACTATGGCGATAGTTATACATACTACGTATGACAAATCTGCACAGAATTACATGCATACACAAAGCAAACATCATCGCACACGAATGCACCATGGAACTAGTAAAATATGAGCAAGCCTGTGGTATATCGATGTCAATTTCATGGTTCAGACACTATTATGATTATGCAAGATTCTAACATTAGGAAAGGAAGAACAAAGGATGTATGAAATGTCCCTGAGTATTTTTTTTCAAACTCCTATTAACCTGTAACAAAAAAATAAATGTAGTAACAGAATACTATTTATAACCTTGAGTATATATAAAAATACAGGTTCCTTAATAACTATGATGTTACCTGTAAGATAGGATTTGGAAATGGGACATACTATTTTTGCACTCCATGTAATTTAAACCTCATTCTAACTATAGTGCTATTTTAACTATAGTGCTTATTTTATTTTACTGGTGACTAAAAGAATAAATTGGCAAAAAAGAAAAGAAAAAAGAAGTGAGGACACTAACTATATGATTATGAAAATAAGCTTGATGGGGTCCAAGGCAGACATGGATTAAATAAAGCTGTGTACTCTCACATTTTCCCACTAGATGTAATAATAAAAGACACTAAAATATACAAAAGTAATATTCATCATTAAAAAAATTAAAAATGTAACATCTATTTGGAGAGGAAGGAGTTCATAAAGATCAACATTTGGGGTACAAAGCTATATACAGCATATTTGTCTACTAATGCTCTGGAAAACACTGGACACACAATGTCCTTTATGTACAAAGTGCTGTCCATATATAAAGGAAGGCAGGCTCTGCTACTGGCTCAAGAAAATAAGAAGATTCTCCTGCTGGACAGAAAAATAAAGAGGAAGTTTTAGGGACTGACACATGTTCCTCCTGCACTATAGAAAGCAATTATGTACAGAAAAATTCATTTTAAGTGATTTTGTTGATTAAAGTTTGGAGTCACTGCCATTAGTGTACATGTAAGCAGATATTTTTGAGGTTTGTTTTTTTTTTTTATTTTTTGCTTCATTTTTTGCAGAACTGGGGATTGGACTCAGACCCTTGCGCTTGCCAGGGAAGCACTTATTCTACTAGCCATCTCCCTGGCCCCCGTTTTTTATTTTTTAATACCATGCCTAAAAGAGTAACTACTTCAGTGTTTAACATGTAGCACATGTCCAATAAATTCTGCTAAGTAAATGGGACATATGGGTTCTTTTTAAGGCTTACTTAATGAAAGTATGATTACCTAGAGAGGGATTATTGATAGGGAAGCTGAAAAATTATTCATACATGTGCAAAGACAGAAAGGTTAAACAAAAGACTGAGGAATGATTGTAGTAAATTAGGAAGAAAACGAAGAGGTTGTTCTGCCAAATACACCCATAATAAAATAGTTTTCCAAGGAAAAGGATTTACTTGTGTCAACTGCTGTTGAAGTACACATGCTGATTAGTAAAAAAAGAGTGATGACAACATCACTGATAAGTGTACCACACCAGAAGCAGGCTAAGGCATATAATCCATATGCACAGGAAGGAAGGGAGTATGGGTATAGACACAGGCAGGTTTCTATGATTTCTCAGTGAGAATGCAAGGATGCTTCCCTACAGCCTCTAGATATTTTTTCAGAAATCATGGAGTTAAAATTCAATAAATGCTTCAATGGAATACAGAAGGTACCATGGAAATGTAAAGACTGCCACACTTAAATCAGTATAGAAGCAGGCATAAAATGTTTACAGGGTGAGCAGGAGAGGATGGGTAAAAGTAAAAAGAGCAACCAAGATGTGCAAAACCTCAATGGCAAAGAAGAAAAGCATGTTCAGGAAGCTCAGAAGTAGAAACAGAGGTGCAGGTAAGGACTGATACGACAGAAGTTACATAAGTACATGCTGAAATCAGCAAGGCCTAAGGAGATTGAACTTTGTTATGAGGCACTTTCAAGTAGCCCCTGAGAAGCACAATGTGTATTTTACTTTGATGATATTCACATACCAGTTTAAGGAATATAGTTCTGAATTTTTTTTTTTTTTTTTGGAACCGGGGCTTGAACTCAGGTCCTTGCGCTTGCCAAGTAAGCGCTTATTCTACTGAACCATCTCCCTGGCCCCCAGTTCTGAATTTAAATATATAAGTATATTCAGTAAAAGATTACCCTATGTAATGCTCAGGACAGTATAGTTTACAGGTTCAGAATGCAGATTCAACTAGATCCAGAATTCTTGTGCTCAAATTCTAGCTATGTCACTTAGCTGTAGCTGTGGACAATTATTTCACCTGTGCTTCAATGTTCCTATCTTTTATTTTTATTTTTTTTGTATTTTTAGGGAAGGGTCTACAGGGTATTCAGGGTCTTACCACCACTAGATCGGACTCATAGTGACCTGCCTGTTTACAGCTTCCCAAGAGCTGGGATTCAGGCGCGCACCATCACGCCCAGTCTCAATTGCCGTGTCAGCGCACCCTGGGGGTGGGGCCGGCACAGCAGATCTTGGGATTGAACCCCTGGCTCCTCCATCTGCTTGCAGGTACTTTACTCTGCTGAGTTATTTGGCTGGCCTTCAATGTTTGTATCTTTAAATGGATGTTTTAATGGTGAAAAAATAAATAATAATACCATCTCAGAGGCTACTGTAAAGACATCTGATGTTCTGTATACATTAGCTTTTACTGGTTAAGACAAAACTTTACCTGCTTTTTAATGGCATAATTTTCACCATCTTCAGCTTTCATTTTTTCAATCTTTTCTTCTTGTTGTTTTGCTTCTTTTTCATACATCACTTTTTCTTTGACTAATCTATAAATAAGCCAAAAATATTTCAGAGAATTAGCTTTTTCTCAAGAGAATAAACCAGAAGAACTAAGTTATGTAAATATAAAGTATATTTAAAATATTGAAGTCAATAGACTAGGTGTAGGAGAGGGAAACAAAATACAATGGTCATTGATACAAATACAAATGTGATGACTGTTATGCTCTTAAGTCTTCTAGCAAAGTATAAAATTTTTATTTTTATTTTATTTATTTTTGTGGTATCAGGGATTGAACTCAGGACCTTGTGCTTGAGATGAGCCGGGCGTATGCTGCTGAGCTATATTCCCAGCCCTTAAAATTTTTATTTTTAAAATTAAAAACCCATCCAAAAAACCCCCCATCCAACTATATTTACAATGTGAAAACAATATTGAACACTATTATGTTCTAACATTTCTGTCTTGTTTTCGTTTCGTGTTATGTATGTGCTGCTGGGGAATGAACCTAGGGCTTCATAGACACTGGGCCAAGAGTTTTCCACTGAGCTACACTTCTACCCCTTCCCCCCACCTTGCCTTTGGACACAGAGGCTAGACCTGAATTTGTGGTTCACCTGCCTCAGTCTCCCAAGCAGCTAGAATTACAATGATGTGCTATCACTCTTGACCCATGCTGTCTGTTTTATTGAGGTTTACCAAAGCCATATCTATATACTTGAAACAACACAAATACAAACATTTAATTTATTGGAGGGGGGAAAAATCCTCAGTATAGTGCACACCAAATCCCAAAGATCAGATTATTTTCAGTAAGAAAACTGCTTACGAAATATTTATCACACTTCCTTTTATGCTAAACTTTCCCTGTCCAAGTAACTAGGACAGGTAATTTACATGTGGTTCTCTCACAGACAGGTATGGGAAACAAACCAGTATATATTTATTAAAGCAAGAAAATGTACTGATGCACATCAGGAAGATGTGGGGTTTGTTTGTTTGTTTTTTTGAGACAGGGTCTCACGGTGTAGTTCAGGCTGGCCTTGAGTTACTATGGAATCCAATCTGGCCTACAACTCATGGTGATTCTCCTGCTTCAGCCTCCCAAGTGCTGGGATTACAGGCATGCACTACCACTCCAGGCCAGAAAGATTTTTGATAATAAAGAATAGTGCCACAAAAGTTCTACTGACCATTCTTTAGATAAGCAAAACTCAATTGAACATAATAAAACAATCTTCCCTAATTCTGGTTAATCAAAGTTTTAATATAATAGAAGTATACGCCTCCCAAATGTTAACATTCCTATATACACATTACCTAAGGAGCAAAAGAAAAAGCTTTCTAATCCAGACACATTAAAAAGCAGCTTTCTCCACCGGGCTTGCTAACTTATTTCAGACTCATGTTTGGTGGAATGCAAATTAAAATCTTACTTAGGACATGGTGACTTTTGTGTAATTATTTACAATGGAGATTTTTTAAAAGAACATTTTACTTTTTATATTCTGAGTGGACTTAATAGAAAGGTTTACAAATCTCTAAAGCAAAGCAACACAGACACACACAGACACACAGACACACAGACACACAGACACACACACACACGAACCCTCCCTCCCTTAAATTCCTGTTAATAGTTCTGGAAGGATTTTAAGTCAAGATTTAAGTCACCACACACTAAATACCAAAATGTTCCCAGTCTGAAGCATTGAGATATGTTAGGAAGGCTCATCCTACACTTCAGGGCCCTGTATGACTTCTATAGATGGAAGGAAATACAACAAAACATTAACAATAGAAACAACAGACACAATTGATATATTCATGGTCCTCACATAGTGAGTGAAAACACTGAAATTCAAACTGAGTTATAAATGTTGTTACCATGATAATTATAAACAAGAAAGAAACATATTCACAAGACAAATTAGAAAGGAACATACAAGTCTAATCTTTTATTACTTGAAAAGAAAGGCCCTCAAAGTTTGGGAGAGAAAAAGTCAGCTTGGGTGTAAACAGAAGCTTCTATTGTCTTTCAAAACGTATAAACACTACAATATTTAACAAAAAGATGCAAAGAGTAGACTCTTATCTCTGAGTACACTTTAGCTGTATTCACCAACTTTCTGGAATAAAGATGCAATTAAAAAGAGAACTACCTAATAGTTGCATTCTCTAAACTTTCTCCTTTTACAACACTACTAGTTAAAATAAAGTAGTAAGTTATTATATCATGAAGGCATAAATGAAATTATTTTCCATCCACCTTAAAAATCCACACCTACTAAAATACAACATAGCAACTTTAAAATCTTCATAAAATAATTAAAATATTAAAGCTTTAAAATTATTATGTGAGGAAAATAAGTAGGAGCCATAGAAAGGTTAGCTTTAAGGAGAAATATAAGAAATGACAATACCAGGCTAAATGACAACTTATGCTACTTAACTGTGCATACACGACAAAATTTTATATATGTAGCCTAGTGTTTTCTAAATTATTCCATCTTCTACTAGTGGTCAAATGAACTTCTTATAAAGCACTGCTTGTCAAATCTCAAAGACTTATGATTTGTATCTGTATATTAAAAGCTCTTGGGGAGTCCTGTAATAAGCTAATCTATTTAACTTTGTTCAACTGCAGGCTTAAACTAGAATAAAAGGGATCATGCTTCCCTTGAGAACAGTTGCTTCTCAACACAAGTTTGCAAAGTGCTCTTAGATAACCATGAACTTGTCAGAAATGTGTACACAGCACACTTAAACATACTGTTTATAAAATGCTAAATAATTGTGGGCAGATCAATAATTGAGCCTGTGGCATAAAGAAGCTGCTTTAGTCATATGGTTGTTCTCATTGTAAACGTAATTTTCATGTTTTCAACCAACTTTGTACTTCACTATCTACTATTACTCCAACATCAAGCCAGGCTATGTACCCAGATGAAAGGTCATTGGGACTGACAGTGGTAAGGAGGACTTAGCCATGTAGCTCAGTGGTAAAAGATATGCTGAGCATGTGTGAGGTCTTGATTTCAGTCTCCAACAAATGCCTTTACTCCCCAAACCCCACACAAAAAAAATGAATATGTATATAAATATTATCTTGAATACTGCAAAAATTACAGACAAAAAGAAGCATGATGAATATCTCTCAGCTTTATATTATTACTTTAGCTATCTTATTTCATCTATTTCCTAATACTCTTTAAAACAAAACAAAACAAAACAAAACAAAACAAAACAAAACAAAACACAAAAAAAAACAAACTCTTTTCCTCCCCTCTTTTTTTTTTTTTTTTTTTGCGGAACCAGGGATTGAACTCAGGTCTTTGCGCTTGCCAGGGAAGCACTTCTTCTACTGAGCCATCTTCCTGGCCCCTTCCTCCCCTCTTCTGATCGACATGCATTGCTCCCTAGAGTCACTTCTGGCAAATGCTCTCCCACTGAACAACATCTACAGAACATTTGGTTTGATTGTTGAAGTTAAAAAGTTCGTATTCTTCCTGGCCCTTATACATATACAAAATATTAACTCAAAATGCACTAAAATCTAAAAGAACTAAAATTATAAAAATGGTTGGATAAAAACCTAGAGGAAAACCTTGTGGCCATGGATTGGGCAATAATTTTTTTTTTCTTTTTGGTCTTGAGATAGGGTTCCACTATGCAATTCAGGCTGGACTAGAAATCACTGTAGCCCAGGCTTGCCTCAACCTCACAGTGATCCTCCTGCCTCAGCCTCCCTAGTGCTGGGATTACAGGTGTACACTATATCACCTGGCAATAAGCTTTTAGATATGACACCAAAAGCACAAACAACAAAAAGAAAAAAATATTAACTGGATTTCATCAAAATTTAAAACTTTTGTGTTTCAAAGAACACTATCAAAGGGAGAACACAGAATGGGAGAAAATATGTGCAAATAATGTATCTAATAAGTATAGCCCCAATATACAGATAAACCAATGATAAAAAAAATGTAAATAGGTAAGGATCCAAACAGGCATTTTTTCTAAAGCAGTTCTATCCAAATGGAATAAGCACATAAAACATGCTTTAGCATCATTAGTCATTAGTGAAATGCACACCAAAATCACACTATGGTTGCACTTCATACCCATTAGAATGTCCACAATCAAAAGGTCAGATAGTAAATAACAAGCGTTGGCAAGGCTGCAGAGAAACTGGAATGACCTACTGGTACCAAGTGGTGGCAATGAAAATTGGTACAGCTGATTTATTCCTCAAAGAATAGTTATACATATCCTAGCAAAGAGTTAACTGTATGCTCAAATAATTCTACTCCTAGGTATATAGACAAATGATGTAGGCTCACAAAAACTGTATGTCTAACAAGGTTCATGACAGTATTATGCATAACAGGTAAGATATGGAGAGAGTCCAAAAGGTCTGTTTACCACTGAATGAATAGCCAAAATGTGATAACCCATTGATGGGAGACTGCCTGGCTATAAAACAGTAAAGTACTGATTCAAATTACAACATGGATGAATCTTGTTTTAGTTAAGTAATACTCCAGAATTTACTGTTTAAGCAGTAATAAGTATATCAAAGCTTAAACTAAAAAATATAAAATTTGAAATAGAACATTAAGAGAAAAGATAAATCAGAGTGGCTCAGTGTATGAATGATAGAGCAGTATACATAAAATATGAAAAAGGAAGGAAAAAAATTTTGAAGAATAAATTTCCTGGGTCAGCATGATAGCTTAGCAGACTAAAGCACCTGCTTAAGCAAGCAGAGGCAAGCGCAGGGACTGTGGTTCGATCCCTGGCACCCAGCACCACATGCCATACCAGCCCCACTCCCAGGGTGGGCTGAGTTGGCCACTGAGTCTGAGCATAGAGGCGCATGCCTGTAATCCCAGCACTGCAGAGACTGAAAGCAGGAGCATCACCTCAAGTCCGAGCTGCATAGTGAGACCCTGAAACAATCAAAATACATATAAATAAATACATTTCCTATATCTGGGGGAAAAAACAATAATCTTTAACTGAAAGAGTTTCATAAGTACCAAA